TGTTTATGGAAGAAATCTATTTTGGAATTGAGACATATTTTAATAAGGTATTGGTATGCCAGGTTTATGCTGATAAAAATTATTTGTAAATGCAGAATGATTTAAAGAAAAATATTTCAAAGACTTAAAAGTACATGACTTACCAAAAATATACACTGCTTTTGAAAAACAGAATGAACAAACAAATTGAATAAAGTAAAAATTAAACATTCCCCCCACTTATCTGCTTTTAAGGGTTTGATTTTCATTCTTACATATATGTCCTGTACGCGTACAAATTACATATATATGTATGTATATGTAACGTGGGTATTAGTATTTGTATACACATGTGACATATTTATGTAAAATGATGTTACAAATTGTATGAATTTATATATTTACATAAAATTATATTTAAAAGAACAGGGTTTTAAAAAATAGTAAAGTATATTCTTTAAGCAATTTTGAAATGCTGGATTGACTTTTTAATATGTACTATTTTCTAATACCTATTAGGATGGTAAAGTGATTTTCCCACCTCCCACACCGAAAAATATTCCTCAAGGTGCCCCAGTAAAACAGAAGACAGTGGCTGAGCTGGAAGCTGAAAAAGCGGCTACCATTACACCCTTCAGGAAGACAATGACAACGGCTTCTGCATATACAGCAGGTGAGGATACCATTTACCAGGGTTTAGTCTTGATTGTTTGATTTTGCAAGTTATATATATATGTATGTGTATATATATAAACGTGTGTGTGTATATATCTACGTGTGTGTGTATATCTATATGTGTATATATATGTGTATATATACACACACACGTAGATATACACACATACGTAGATATGTATACACACGTAGATATATATACATATGTAGATATATACATATATAGATATACATATGTAGATCTATACATATATAGATATACATACACACGGGCATGTTAGAAAAAGCACTTCACCCAGGTTGAGAGGCATTCAGTCCCAGGAGCCTTAGGATTTGTACTTTATCTCGAAACTATACAGTTTGTAGCAAAAGAAGGAAGTACTACATAAACACCTCCTTAGCCTCCTGAGCAGCTGGGACTACAGGTGCCTACCACCACGCCCGGCTAATTTTTGTATTTTTAGTAGAGATGGGGTTTCACCATGTTAACCAGGACGATCTCAATCTCCTGACCTCGTGATCTGCCTGACTTGGCCTCCCAAAGTGCTGAGATTACAGGCGTGAGGTGCCACACCTGGCCTGCAAGCAATATATTAATTGTCAAAATTAGTAAATGAAATGCTGTTGTCTTTTTTGGATTCCATTAGTAATCAGGCCTGAAAGACTTGGTTTTTCAGCAACATACTACTTGTCTCACCTCTACAGAAATGGAGATTACATTTATTGATGCAATAAATAGAGTCAGTGTGCTAAATACTGGAATGAAAGCATGTGAAATAATATGCAGGCAATAAACATTTTTCCTTTTACAGAAAACATTTTAAAAACAGTTATTTATATATATTAAAAATATACGTACTATATATATGTTTGAAACAGAGTCTTTTTCTGTTGCTCAGGTAGGAGTGTAGCGGTGTGATTATGGCTCACCACAGCCTCAACTTCCTGGGGTTGAGGAAGGAAGCTTCCCACTTCAGCCTCCTGAGTGGCTGGGACTACAGGCACATGCCACCATGCCCAGCTAATTTTTGTGTGTTTTTTTTGTAGAGATGGGGCTTCACCATGTTGCCCAGGCTGGTCTTGAACTCCTGAGCTCAAGTGATCCTCCTGCCTTGGCCTGCCAGTGTGCTGAGATTACTTTTATCTACATCAAATGTATTGAGAAGTGATGTATGCCATATTGTGCTGGTGTTAAATGCATATAAATATAATTATGTTTTTTCTGTTTTTTTGGTGAAATATCAGTTGTGATTATCTGCACACATGGGTAAGACAAGGGAACCAAATGTTTGCCTTAAAGAATAAGTACTACAATATAGGCTTTAGTCCTTAAACATGTGACTAACATTTTGAGTTACTCAACTTGTAAAAAAATTCAATATTTTCATTTAGATCTCTTTCTTTATAATTTAACATAAATTCTTTGTTTTAAAATTCATTCTTCACGAAAACACTAAATAATTTATTGTAAAGTGGTGTAATATTCATTTTGGCTAAGCATTGTTAGAGGCTGAAATACGGATATTTGATTTTAAATTGGTTTCTCTCTCAAAGAATGAATTAAAAATGTTTAGATCTATTCAGAGCCAAAACAAAAACAAAACAAAAGCAAACTATAAAGAATTAAGGACCAGCACCAAGCACATAGAATTCTTGTAGACTCAGCATCCTCCAAATTCCCATGTGAGTCCAGATGTTTTAAAGCTAAACATGTAACTCTCCTTGAATAAAGAGCAAGTCTCAGCAAAATGACTGAAAAAGCCTCTAGTGGTGAATACTGTGAGTAGATGAAGCAGTGTCCCTACTTGCACTTATTTGTTAAAAAAACAAAATAAATGAGGTTATTGTGTTGTACATGGAACATATTATGAGTAGGATTGTAAATTTCCATTTCTCTTTCAGATTCTTAAGGAAATGTAGCAAGGCACATATAATGATTTATTTTTCTTGGTTTCTCTTATATTTCTTGAGTCAGGGCATATTGCTTCTTAATATATATGACAGTGGCATATTCCAGTGAATGAAAGGATGAACTTATATGTGTTTTTCTTTATCTTGAACTCCCTCTTTTATATTAAAAATAAGCATTTTTCTTTTATATGTATTAAAAATGTATTTGAACAGCATTCTTTAAAGAATGTGATTTGCTTTCTCTTCTTTCATCAGCCTTTCTCTTCCTCTGTTATACAGATATAGAAATATAGTCTGACATATGTTACTAAATATATGATAGAAAAGACATTAGTTTATTAAATAGTTGATAAGAAAACCTTCAGGTATATGACGTAGTTTTTGTCACAGATGGCTAACACAAAGGACCGTGGATTATGATAAGGTAGTGCTTCCTGACTAATGTGGTCATAATAATAACTAGCATTTAGTGACTGCTAGGCACTGTGCTAAATACTTCACATGCCTTAGCTCATTTATTTTTTACAAGAATTCAGCAAAGTGGGTATATTATTATTTTCTTTTCCAGATGAAGACAGAGAGGGTTGATAATTTTACATATGAAGACCTGAAGCACAGAGAGATTAAGTAACTTGCCTGAGATGACACAGCTAGGGAGCAGCAGAACCAGGATTCAAACCAGACTGACTTAAGAAAACATATTCTTATTCACAACCCTATACAACTTCTCTAATTTTTAACCGGAAAACAGTGTTGTATCTAACTCTCTAATCAGATGGTTAATGGGCTATGCACTGGAACCTTGGATACATGATATGTGGGTAGGAAAATAAATTAAAACTACAGTCATATTGAATGATTTAATGTAAAATTAATGTCAATCCCTAGATATTTCAGTGGTGCCACTTCCAAAGTAATAGTTTACATCAAGGAAAAAGGTACCTTATTCAGGAAAGTTAACTTCTAGTTCCCTGGTCACCCACTGTCATTTTCTTTTTACTGACCACTAGGTAACCCTTTCTTCTGTTGCAGAACAACTGTCCACATGTTTGCTATCAAGGAAGGCGATAATTAAAGATGTATGTTCAGAGCTGTTTGTATTCTGCACATTCTTAATTTAATTTGTATTTTTTTTCCTTTTCTTTGTAAAATCCTGTTTGCTGACTTGGTGTTGAGGCTGGAGCTGACTGCCCTGGCCAACAGTCCAGTCCAGATTCAGGAGCAATTGCAAAACTTGTGTCCCGGGTGGGTGGAAGCCATATGTTTTGGGGAGGTGCTGGAGTGAATGAAATTCTTCCTACTCTTTTAAAACCCCTATTCCTCAGCCAAATCTGAGAGTGATATAAAATTGGCCTCATAAAAGTCTTGTCTTATAAAGGTTGTGTCTTGCCCCAGTAGAAAATGCTTTGGTAGATCCTCTATAGGCCTGTAATCGGGAATAAAAATGCTTGTATAAACATATGTGGCATTGTCAATAAAAGTTAAAACAGGGAAGAGGACAAACTACACAGAGGAAAATGTGCAAATTGTTATTAAGATGACTCATAAATATTACTAGATCTTTATAGCTTGTTTTGGGGTGGCGGTCAGAAAGTTGGGTTTTGTCCACAGTATTCCTCCATCCCCCTACTTCTTAATTGTCAAATGTCTAAAAAATCTGCTCATTACTGGCAAGGGAGTGGAATTTAAAAGCATTGACTATTTCACATATTTATGGGTGTGCTTTTAATCTTACTGAGACAACTGGATGTCAGCTCACACACACTCTTTACTTTCTTTCTCTAGGTCTCACAGGGATACTGGGTTTGGGCATTGCAGCTCCCAATCTAGCCTTTTCTCAGATGGTGACCACTTTTGGCTTGGCCGGCATTGTGGGGTATCATACCGTCTGGGGAGTGACCCCTGCTCTCCACTCACCACTAATGTCTGTGACGAATGCAATCTCAGGTTTGTTCCTCTCTTGTTTTTCCTCATCTCAGGTTTTCATAGGCTTACTCAGCTCTAGGAGGACTATCAATGACGTTTATAAAGTGTGTTTTCAAGTTGTTTTGCTTGGCATCTGAGGCATCTGCTTTGGTGATCTAAGGGCTCCCAGACTCCGAGAGGGTGTGGAATATGGGCCTGCAAAGTAAGAGGCCGTGGAAGTGTGTCAGCTCTTTGGGCTGCTCCCATTTCAAGCAGGACAGAGCCACTGTTACTTCTTCCAAGTTTGATTCTTTTTTTTTTTTTGTAAAGGAAGGATTCCACTGATAAAATTTGAAAACCAGCATTCCACAGAATCATAGTTGCAACATCCTATAGGGTTCTCCTTGAATTCAACTCAACATTCAGCCTAGCAAGGCTACAATAGGCCCTGTGTGGCACCAGGAAGCTATGGGACGGGAAAACATTGCTTTCCAGTGAGGTGGCATGAGGCATTTCTCTTTGGTGCCAGTCTTTTCAGCAGTTCACGCAGCAGCAGCAGTCCACGTGGCTGCCCAGGATCTATTTTCTTTGTCCCCTAGCAATGGTTCAGATATGAGGGAATGAATCCTACATTGGACAAGCATGGGAGCCGTCCTGGCTTAAAAGCCTCAGGGCCAATAGTCATCTTTTATAACATTGCCATAGGCATAGCTTTGAGGATCTCTGCAGGGAACATGTCTAGCTCCAAGAGGTGCTGTAGTCAGGAAAACCCAAAGCTAGGCATCCCCAGCAGACATTTACAGTTCATTAATAGTTTCTTCCAGTTTACATGCAAATTATCTACCAGGGTCACTTTTTAACCATAAGCAATGTTGTCTATAACATTGGTGGATTTATATCGGTATTAGAGGAACATAGCTAGAAAGTTAAAGGAAAGTCCAATTCCAATGCAGAAGGAGAAAAAGTTTTGTTAACCCTTTTCCCACAGTAGTAATTTCAGTGAGAATGATGTGAAGCTGTGTTGTCCACAGTCTGTGTAAGGAAAATTGTTTATTTCATTTTAATGAGGGTATAAGAAAGCTGCCTTGTTTTTTGATATTGAGAACTTTACCCTCTGTGAATCTATGTGTGTGAGGTACTTCAGCTATGATATTTGATTTGGTGGTGTCACTATCACTATTCACCATGTTGATGCTTTCTTTCTAGGCCTGACTGCAGTTGGTGGGTTGGCACTGATGGGAGGACATTTGTATCCTTCCACAACTTCTCAGGGCCTTGCTACTCTTGCCACATTCATATCCTCCGTCAACATTGCAGGTATGATGTCAGTGAAAGGTCTCAGAGGACTATTTTCAATGGAGACATACAAAGCAAATATAAATCAGTATAAAATAGACATAATTGTGCCTTTAAAAAAGGTTTCACTCAGACCGTAAATGCTTTTTGTGCAGGAATATTAGTTATTTTGCCCATCTGTAATTTTTAGAAACTCTTGGTGAGAGAACAACCCCCAGTTCCCCAAAACAAACAGACAAAATGATGTCTTGCTACAAGTTAACTGGAAAGTTACTGAATGCATAGTTTTGAAGTAAGTTGGGTTAGAGCTGTCACCATAACATCTATAAATGAGTATAATTTTAGATCAAATTTTAGTCTTTTGCCTTATCCCAGCCAGCGTTTGTTCCTGGACACTGAAAGCCTCGCACATCACTCATATGTGAGACTTGTTTGATGCTATTTTGTAGCTAAAAATTCTTTATTGTGTCCAAGAAACCTGGTGCCTGTTGATATGGTATTTTTCTCTTTTATAATTTTTTTATAGGGTTTTACAAATGTAACAACCTACGTAGAAATAAGATGCAATCTTGATCTTTCACATTCTGCAAAGGCCTTTTTGAATGGGCTTTTTTCTTTTGAGTTTTGATTCTGATAGCGTTTTCTTCCTGATATATTTAGTGTTTTTTCCCCCCACCTCTCTAATGGAACTGACTTGGAGTAATTAGAATGACTGTTAAATTTTGGCTGGGTGTGGTGGTTAACACCGTGTATCCAGCACTTTGGGAGGCCAGGCCGGGACAGTCACTAGGTCAGGGAGTTCGAGACGGCACTGGACACGATGAAACCGCCTGCTACTAAAAATACAGAAAATTAGCCCAGCATAGTGGCCAGTGAGCCTGTATCCAAAACCAGCTAGACGTCGGAGGCCTAGAGACAGGAGAATAGCTTTGACAACCTGGGAAAGCGGAGATTGTAGTGAGTCAGATCGTAGTCATTGCCGCTAGGCTGGGCAATCCTAGAGTGAACTCATCTCAAAAAAACAAAAAGAAAAAAAAAAAAAAATTTGAGGGTTGCAAATGTTACTTTAATTTATATATTATCTAGGATGATAAAGGATGGCTACAAATAGAAAAAATGTGGCACTTTAAAAATCATATTAGCTCAGTGGAATTTCAAAGAGGTACTATGTTGTTTTATTTAAACTTTGGCTGTTGGCTAAGGTGCTTTCTGGTAAACTCAGAGATGCGATGACATGTCAAGCGTCCCACTGACCCCCCAGACATACACTAGCTGTATCTGCTGCCTAGCTGGATACTTATATGTTGAGTGGAATAATTTAGAGCTGCCTCTACAGTGAGATTAAAAACTTGAAAGGTAAGAGAGGCTCTTTTGTAAAGTTTTTATTATTTACACCAATATTTTACTTCTCGTTATATAATTAACATTGCATAGTAAACCTAATTCAAATTATCAGCAAATACAACTCTGTGCAAGCAGAATAAAAACAATTAACCCTAGAAAACATCATTGGTGAAACCGAGCATTCTCTTCCCCATAAGGATCAGGACCCTGGATTCTGAGAGACCGATTTTTTGTAAGGTAAACTGAGTTATTAAAATATGGGGTTTAATGTTTTGGTTTTGGTATACATTTTTCCACACATGTAAGAAAGGGAAGTTAGGAGATTATCAGTATCTTTCATGTAATAGTATCTAGCAGATTGCGTTGTGGATTATAAATGAAAACAATTCGGAAGCTCCGTAATTTTCAATGTTCTGTTTCAAATGACTGTTCGTTTTAGTTTCTTCTGGTGTTTCCAACAATGGGATATTTAGTGAATGAAACAATGGTTATTTTATTTTGAGAAGGAGTTGCGAGCAGTGAGTCAGAAAGACCTTAGTCTGAATTCCAGATTTCCAATTTACTGATCATTTGCCTTGAAGAAAGTATGTAACTTCTTTAAGCTTTGATTCTCTCTTTTGGAAAATGAGGATAATTATTTTTCCCTCTTGTGGATCTCATGAGACTGTGACAACACAGATAAAACATATGGCACAGCCCCTGGCACTTATGTCAGGGGTTGGCTCTTTTACAGCATTTGGTCAAGTTTAGTATTTTTAGATCCAATAATGACCCCATTTAAACTTAGGTACTTTCATTTGTATTTGTGCATGATAGCAAATCCAGAAGAAACCAATTTATATAAATGGTATAAGTGCAAATACAGTATAAGTATTTTGTATGTTAATATTCCTAATGGGTAGGAAATATATTGAAGTCTCTAAGTTAATAGACTAAAGGTTTTAATAATCTCTCTCTCTCCCTTTTCCTTTGAAAAGATCATGTACCTAGGCTCGGGTTTGTGCTGTGTTGGTGCCTTGGCTGGCCTCTCCACCCAGGGAACAGCACGTCTTGGCAATGCATTGGGCATGATTGGGGTTGCTGGAGGGCTGGCAGCCACCCTCGGAGTCCTAAAACCGGGCCCAGAATTACTAGCTCAGATGTCTGGAGCGATGGCTTTGGGTGGTACCATTGGTAAGCACTTGTGGGCTTCTGCCTTTATGTGAACTCCAGTTTCTCAATATATATTTCTAAGGTCCATATTGATGAAATAATTAAATTGTGTTCATGGAAGTTGCTTCAGTTAATATTATTTTGGTGAAAATTCATCCCAGTTGGTGTAATTCTCATTCAAATACATTTTAAAACACTGAGTAAATGCATCAACTGAGTCAAAATATCCTATACTCAATTCTTATTTTCCTTTACTGACTGTGTCCCGTTAGCTGATAATGGAATGGGGGATTGGAATCCTTATGTATGTACTATACATAAGCTAACTTTTGTTCTGCTGGGCATACATAACAGCCAAAAATTCTGCTTCATAGACCTGTTAAAAATGAAAAAAACATGTGCCAGCGGAAAAACCACTGTTTTAATTTTATTCAGTTGTGTGCTGGATTGTTAAATTTTCAGGAATTTTTAGGCCGGGCTTGGTGGCTCACACCTGTAATCCCAGCACTTTGGGAGGCTGATGTGGGTGGATCACATGAGGCCAGGAGTTTGAAACCAGCCTGGCCAATATGGTGAACCCCCGTAGCTATTAAACATACAAAAATTAGTTGGGCATGGTGGCGTACAACTGCAATCCCAGCTTTTTGGGTGGCTGAAGCATGAGAATCGCTTGAAACTGGGATGTAGAGGTTGCAGTGAGCTGTGATCATGCTGCTGCACTCCAGCCTGGATGACAGAGCGAGATTCTGTCTCAAAAAAAAAAAAAAATTTTTTCCAGGAATTTTTAAAGTTGATTGTTAAACACAGCCATTATTAAATACTAAATTACATAAACTTAAAATTAAATAAATCAGAAACAAAGGTAATAATATTAAAAACTCATAACTTTCTAATTAATTTACTAGGTTTTATTATCTATGCTCCTGAGGTTACTTATATCTATTGTATGTGTATAGAAGAAATGCTATGTATCAGTGGACTGTGGTACATCTCTTTCCAATTCTACATTCAATGACATCACATTGGTAGATTGAAATTTTACTTGGTAGGAGTATTGCAGTGTGGAAATAGGCAAATGCTACAATCTGGGCTTGATTTATTGTTTTGTTTATTGTCCAGACGTGAGAAAGTGATGGAGAAAATGTTAATGATGCAGCTTAAACTTCAAATGTTTTGACTGTAGCTGTGACATTGTGAATAGCACAAATAATTGAGCAAATACTCTTCCAGTATTTGAAAACTATTATCACATTCAGCAATAAAGTCACTCATGGTTGATAAATGAGTGAAGTTCTCACATACATTCTGTTGTTTTACTTTCATCTTAGTTATTAAAGTAAATAAAAATAAATATCAAACAATGTTCCTGTTGGAAGTATGCTTATTCATCAGTTGCAAACACTAGGTTGGCTACAGATATAAGAGTTGAGCAAAGATCCATAAAAACATTCTATGAAAGTCAATTTGTCTACATGGAATTTTCAGTAAAGAACACTGTATTTCTTATTATTTGAAAATTGTGTGCCAGCCACCTTTATATCAGTTAAAGCTCATATATTTGTATGTGCATGTATTTCTTTCCTGTGGAACTGGTTATTAAATGTTTCCCAGTGCAACACTGGCTTTAGGCCTCCTTTTATACTTCCTCAGGAAAGCTTTGACTCTTTTCTTGATAATCTCTGGAAAGGGACTTGAAGGAAAATGTTTGCGCTATAGGTTCATGGCAGGAAAACCTTTAGACGTGATCTTAGCAAATATTCTGAGCCCCACTCCTTCTGTATCACCTACCTATAGCCATGCAGTTCCTTCAGAGGCTCCCAATTTGGGTATTTACTGCCCAGATTTTTGCATTTCTTTACCTTGGGACTTTGCTCCCACCTACCCACCTGAAAACCAAGGTCTTCTTCATGTTCCAGGTGTTTCTTATGTGCTCAGGAGCAAACACTGGTTATAGAGAAGAGGGCCTGGTTGTAATGGGGAGAATATAAGGGAATTTGATTAGAGATTTAGGTAGTCTGAAGAAGTGTTGGCTAGGGGAAGGTTGGGAGTTTGTGATGGGAAGAGGCATGCATTGATGCTGCGTGTTGGGGTTCATTGGAGTTAGGTCGTGCTTAGGTGTGTGGAGAAAAACTGTTGTTTTGAAAGGGTATACAAGTTGAACATCTTTAATCCGAAAATCCGAAATGCTTCAAAATCCAAAACTTTTTGAGTGGTGACATGACACCACAAGTGGTGAATTCCACACATAAATACTTAACACAAACTTTGTTTCAAGCACAAAATAATTTGAAATGTTTAAAATTCCTTTCAGGCTGTATGTATATGAAACATAAATGAATTTTGTGTTTAGACCTGGGTCCCATTCCCAAGATATCTTATTATGTATATGAAAATATTCCAAAATTTAAAAAGAAATTAAAATCTGAAACACTTCTGGTCCCAAGCATATCAGATAAGGGATACTCAACCTGTATACAACTAGTGCCCTTACCTTCTGTACAGCCCCTGTAGAGAATATTTAGCCCGTACTAGGAACTAGATAATATTTATTTGTGACAATGGTGGAAATTCTTAATGGTGATCTTTGTTGTGGTTACTTCTCAAAAGTTTGTCAAGTTTTAATTTATTTTTGACCTTCATTTCATAACAGGATTGACAATTGCCAAACGCATCCAGATTTCTGATTTACCTCAATTAGTTGCTGCTTTTCACAGTTTAGTGGGTTTGGCAGCTGTACTTACTTGCATAGCTGAGTACATTATAGAATATCCACATTTTGCTACGGATGCAGCAGCAAATCTCACCAAGATTGTGGCCTACCTCGGCACTTACATTGGTGGCGTCACCTTTAGTGGGTCTCTCATTGCCTATGGAAAATTGCAGGGTAAGTGATTCAGCATAACATAGAAGTAAATAGCTATGTTTAGGGCATTTAGGGATCCATTTTAGTTTCAGAAAATACATTAACATGGTTGGGCGCAATGGCTCATGCCTGCAATCCAGGACTTTGGGTGGCTGAGGTGGGAGGCTCTCGAGCCCAAGAGTTCAAGACCAGCCTGGGCAATATAGCGAGACCCTATCTCTACTTTTTATTAAAAAATCAAATATTAATACTAATAAAAAAGAGTAAAACAAGAAAATACCTTAACAGTAAAACTGTTAGGTGAAGAGTATTCATATAGCACTCAGAAATTGTAAAAGTTTTTTTCCCCCTATCCTTCCCCTTTATTGATACTTAACAAGTCTCATAAAGCTTTGAAGCTGTTTCATTTGCAGACAGCTAATGGAGGAAATTAGTGCACAGGAATTTGCATAGAGGGACTAGTTGACTTTTGATAATACATGTGAACGAAACAGCATCCTCATAATCCTTGGTTAGAGATGACTGTGTAGAATTCACAGAAATAAACTTTATACATTTTCCAAAATAGGAACTTATTAAATAAGTTTGTGTGAGTAGTAAACAGTACTTATTTTGAAAACAAATACACACTTTAGGACTCTAGCATGACAACTTTTGCTGCTGGTAAAGTCAATCATGAAAATGGAAGTGGAGAAAAAAACCCTACCGAGGCTGCTGTCAGTGTTTTTACAAAAAAGTCTCTAGATAAACTAGTTTGTGATTTAAAAACATGGTCTTGCCTCTCAGTAATAAAGTCATGAAAATTAAGTGGGGAACTTCCACGAAACTTGAAAATCATAAAAGAACTTCAAATTTCAAACATTTTTATCTCATGCTTTGCCTTTAGGAACAAATAACAAACAAAGTTTCTTCCTTGGGCTCAGTTAATAGAATCTGAAATACTAGTGTGCAAGGATTCCTTATTGAAGTTCTATTTGTTTATTTTTACTTTATTATGCTTTATTTTTGTCAGAAGACTGGCATGCATGAAATTTTAAATAAATAAACCCACACTTAACAACTTCCGTGTTGGTCATACGTAAGAAAATAACTTCTTAAGATTTCATGACAAAAAGGAAAGAAATTGTTTTGTGATCAAAATAGGGAAAAGAATAGTGAAGTCGAACCATAGTTTTTCTGTCTCTGTTCATGTTTATTATGTGTAATAATTCTAATTTGCTTTTGTTTCATACCTAGTAATATAAAGTAATATTTTAAATACCATGTTATGCTAATGTTAAATTTTGGTAGTTTAGGATTAAAAGACACACTTGGGTGTGTGTGAGGGGGTTTCTTACAACACATTCTGAATTCTAACTACTATGTGCTTGGCTCTAGGTCTCCTGAAATCTGCCCCTCTCCTACTGCCTGGAAGGCACTTACTCAATGCAGGCTTACTGGCTGCTAGTGTGGGCGGGATAATCCCATTCATGGTAGACCCAAGCTTTACCACTGGCATCGCCTGTCTGGGTTCTGTGTCTGCTCTCTCTGCTGTCATGGTAAGAAGTCAGAGATTGAAAAGTACATCTTTGGTGAAAAACTGGTAATATTTTGTTAGATTAAAGTGTAATCAGATTTTTATCTCGTCAAAAACCTTGATGGAATAAAAATGTTTTAAAATTATGTCACATGTTCATCTTTTTAGAATCTGGAAAACACAGAAGAGTGTAGGAAGAACATTATTCTTTCTTGCAACTTAATTGTTCATTTTAAAGTTGTCACATGAGATGCCTTTATTGCTCTGGAGTCTTTTCACTGGATCAATGTGTTGGTGAACAGGAGCTTAAAAAGGCCAAGGGTTTCAATGTATTAGGTGCCTACTATATGACAAGCCCTACAAAATAGTGCTTCGGGGTTTATACAAGTAAGATAGTCTCTACCCACTAGTTGCTCTCACATCATTGGAAGATATGACATGAAATCAAATAAGTAGGCCGGGCGCGGTGGCTCAAGCCTGTAATCCCAGCACTTTGGGAGGCCGAGACGGGTGGATCACGAGGTCAGGAGATCGAGACCATCCTGGCTAACACGGTGAAACCCCGTCTCTACTAAAAAATACAAAAAACTAGCCGGGCGATGTGGCGGACGCCTGTAGTCCCAGCTACTGGGGAGGCTGAGGCAGGAGAATGGCGTGAACCCGGGAGGCGGAGCTTGCAATGAGCTGAGATCCGGCCACTGCACTCCAGCCTGGGCGACAGAGCGAGACTCCGTCTCAAAATCAAAGAAGTATAAAATGAAATGCAGTTAAAAAACCCTGTATGCTCAGTGAGAGTGTTCAGTTAAGCCTTTTATGATAGGTTCAGCCTTCCTCTTTCTCTGTAATTTTTACATTTAGTATATTGAAACAGTAGTTTTTAGTTGTCTGTATGGCAGTCTGGCATCTTATATCAATGTATGATGTTGCTTCATGAAGTGCTATTATTTGCTGTTACTCACTGTTACTCATGTTCTTTCCGTGTATAATCTGTAGATAAGGTTTATATTTAAGTTAAAAAAATTATCTACAGTGCCTAACACAAAGTTAGACACATAGCAATTGCTTATGAAATACTTACTGGCTCCTTGATTCAGAAACACCTAATTTATATTGTAAAAATGTTACTTATTTTTGTGTGATTATGAGAGTTAAGTCATGATTTCAACACAGAAACTTGAGATCACTGAAAAGTAAATTAAAATCTCATCTTTATATTAATGCTCATAGTCTAATTTTTTTCTGGCTTGTTGCACTGATTTTTGTTTTAAACAAAAGAAAAATAATTTTGATATTTTTAATCTAATAAGGCAGAATAGGTTAATGAAGTCTCAAAATAAAAGATATACAAATGTGACTGGGCGTGGTGGCTCATGACTGTAATTCCAGCACTTCGGGAGGCCGAGGTGGGTGGACCACCTGAAGTTAGGAGCCTGGCCAACATGGTGAAACCCTGTCTCTACTAAAAATACAAAAATATGCCGGGCATGGCGGTGTGCGCCTGTATTCCTAGCTACTTGGGAGGCTGAGGCAGGAGAATTGCTTGAACCTGGGAGGCAGAGGTTGCAGTGAGCCAAGATCATGCCATTGCACTCTAGCCTGGGCGACAAAGCAAGACTCTGTCTCAAAACAAAACAAAACTTTAAGAATTGTTGTTTCAGGGAAGCAGTGAATATGATATTTAAAGCATTTATTGGTTCTATGAGAATGTCTTAGACAAAGTATTTTTTGAATTTATTGTTTTTGGCTTAAATGAGTAGTACATGAATATGCTCTCATTGTAACAAGCAAAAAAAGGTAAAAATATGTGAAATAAGCAAAAAGCTTTTTCCTTTCCTGTGTTTAGTAATTTTGAGTGGTATCACAGACATTGTTAATGATACATTATAGATATTTTGGATTATGTTATATTCCTTCAAAGGGTATTGATTATTATTTTTTATTTATGCATTTTTGTAGCCAGCTAACTTGGCTAAACTCAAATTCCAAATTTTGACTCCCTTATGGTGGGGAGGGGCAGCTGAAATATGTTGTTATTTTATCCTTAACAGGATTGCTTGGAGTCTGTCTCACATAAGTATAGTTCAAGAGTCATCCAGAGATTTGAGTAGAATTTATACACAGAAACTGGGACTCCCTCTCTCTAGCCTGCTCCTTTGTGGGATTTCCCTTATTACTTTCCAGCTGCCTTAGTCATCTCAAGTGCTATCTTCAGGATCTTCAAGCCAGTAAGACTGTGGGCTTATATTTTATAATTTCTTTAATTGGTACCAACAGGGGATTGCCCTCAGTCTAAAGCCACAAAAATTGGGAAATTCACTTGGTGTCGTTATGTTTTTCCAAATGTAGATACTTCTCCAGTTTCTGCCTGTTTTTCATCACTGAAAAGTGTTTTTTTAAAATGTAGGGATTTTTTTCAGGGGTGTGGGTGGCTCAGTGTTTATAGTTGTTGTACCTGTGGAAGTGTTGGTCAGATGGGAGACACTTATTACCAGAAGTGGAACTTATATGTAAATATATTAGTGGGAAAGCTAGAATAATTAAGGAGCAAAATGTTAAATGCCAGAGGTTTTATTTTTATGTTATTAATTTTGAGTTGTACTTTGATTGTTGTTCTAGGGTGTGACTTTGACAGCTGCTATTGGGGGTGCCGACATGCCCGTCGTCATCACTGTGCTGAACAGCTACTCAGGCTGGGCCCTGTGTGCAGAGGGCTTCCTGCTCAACAACAATCTGCTGACCATTGTGGGTGCACTCATAGGCTCGTCTGGTGCTATCCTGTCATACATCATGTGTGTGGTAAGAAACAACACATACATGAAAGAAAAGGAAATGACTTTCTGAAAACATAGATGTGCTTGTCATTTCTTTTATTAGCCATAAAAATGAGTATTGTAGGCTGGGTACTGTAGCTTACGCCTGTAATCCCAGCACTTTAGGAGGTCAAGGCGGATGGATCACGAGGTCAGGAGTTCAAGACCAGCCTGGCCAAGATGGTGAAACCCCGTCTCTACTAAATATACAAAAATTACCTAGGCGTGGTGGTAGGTGCCTGTAATCCTAGCTATTTGGTAGGCTGAGGCAAAGAATTGCTTGAACCCAGGAGGCGGACGTTGCAGTGACCAAGATCATGCCACTGCACTCCAGCCTGGGTGACATAGTGAGACTCCATCTCAAAAGAAAAAAAAAAAAAAAAAAAAGAGTATGGTAGCTTTGAATTCTCTTCAGCAGAAATAGCAGAGTGTTTCATTTGCATAAATTTCCAAGACTGCCTTTAAGGTACCCAACTGTAAAGAATTAGGAAAATTAAATAGAAAGATGAAAATCTTCTAGTGCCTCTCTCCATCTGGAGATAAACAGGCAAGATTTTGGTTTATTTCCTTATGTATGGCATATCTGTGTATTTACTTGTCTGACCATGTTGTATATTGTCCTACATTTAAAAAAACTTACATACTATATTGTTGACTTTTTGTCATTAAAAATTCTATTTTAAGAGACTTTACCCTAATCCATAATATGGATATACAAAATTTATTTAATTTCCCCTTAATGCTATACATATGAAGTTGTTTGATTTTGATTTCTCTTTGTACATATCTTTGACATTTCAGATTTTTGTCTTAAGATAGAGTCCTAGAATTTATAGCCTCATTATACTTATAGCCATGTTTCTGGAAAGGTCGTTCTAATTTACACTTCTGTTGGTCATCTGTGAGAGTTTCTACCTTAGAAGTTTTGCGGTCAGCATGAGGTTTTTTTTTTTTTTTTTTTTTTTAATTATACTTTAAGTTCTAGGATACATGTGCACAACGTGCAGGTTTGTTACATATGTATACATGTGCCATGTTGGTGTGCTGCACCCATTAAGTTGTCATTTACATTAGGTATATCTCCTAATGCTATCTCTCCCCCATACCCACTCCCCACAATAGGACCCAGTGTGTGATGATGTTTTTTTAAAAAAAGAACAGAAAAATGTAACAACACTAATACTTCCTAGCTTTTCTGTTTGTTTCAAGTTCTCTTCTTGAGGGCAAGAAGATGTTGTGTAAATATTATAATTAAAGGTTTGAGTAGAACATTTTTTCAAATTATAGGTGTTATTTTCTAAATAATACTTTTGAATAACTGTTACAGTACAAGTAAGAAGCTAAGTGAAACCAGAATGTGATTTTACACTGATAAATAATTTAGACAAGAAAGGGATCTGTATTAGTCCATTCTCACACTGCTGTGAAGAACTACCTCAGACTGAGTAATTTATGAAGAGGTTTAATTGACTCACAGTTCCACAGGCTTAACAGGAAGCATGACTGGGAAGCCACAGGAAACTTACAATCATGGCGGAAAGTGAATGGGAAGCAAACACATCTTACCGTAGTGGAGCAGGAGAGAGAGTGAAGGGGGATGTGCCACACACTTTTAAAACACCAGATCTTGTGAGAACTCACTAGCATAAGAACAGCAAGGCGGAAGTCAACCCCCATAATCCATCACATTCCACCAGGCGCCCCGACCCATGAAATGTGGGGATTACAATTTGACATGAGATTTGGGTAGGGACTCAGCCAAACCATATCAGATACTTACTCTACCTTCATTCGTTTATTACAGTATTTAAAAAAACTGCCTTATTTTACAACTCAGGATTTTTCTTACGATTTAATTGAAAATCTCATTGTAATTTGGAAGGCTGAAGTATCTTTTCATAGTAAAAAATATTTTTGTTTCTTAGGCTGTATTGCCAAACAAAGGGTTTGATAGCCCAAATTCAAAACAAGCTAAGGGGTTTTAAAATTAAATTACCTAAATTGCTTGGGGAATTTGGAAAGGTGAAGGTTTATGTATCCTATTTGAAAAGTGTCAGCTTTGTGACAGAAAGGAGAAACATTTGTGAAGAAAAAATGTTTATGAAGTTGTACTAGAAACAGTTTTCTGTAAAAGTGCTTTTAACCCTTAGTTTGATTTTGCTTCAGTTGATGAATTTGAATGACCAGCAGGGGGCAGCAGATTTTCATTATTACTTAAACTTGAGGTTTGTCAGTGGCTTTTAAAGTTAAACGGGAGGATTTGAAGGATTTGAATGTTAACAAAGGCTGTGGCATATTGATATGGGGAGAGGAGGGAAGAAGATTTGTATCTAGTTCTTGAAATGTCAGCATGGTTAATTTCTTGTTTTATCCTTTTTAAAAAACGGTTTTCTTTAGGTTTTTAAATTTATGAAGAGTATTCCCCATATTTCTGTCTGTGTCTCTCTTATTACTCTCCTTTTCCTTCTTCACTTAGTGTCTTTTATTATTATTAGTTATAGCAACCATAGTAAGTCTTACAGTAACTCTTCTGCAACACTAGAATAAGGTAGCAAGAGGTACTTGTTGAAAGTACTCTCTTTTATGTGTTCTGCAATTATATCACCTTTCTCTTATTTTTCCTATTCTTTGATATTTTTTGATTTGTTTTCTCTAGGTCTTCTATTTCTTTTCTTTCCATTTCACTGCCACAGGCGTGCCATTTACCATCAGCATTCCATAGATATTTTGTATTCCTATTCTGTATATAGAGCTACCAAATTATTCCAATAGCTGCCAGAGGCCATAAATATCACATTTGGTCAGATTGATAATTTGGATTCAAGAACAGTTGAAGTTTTAATTTAAAAAAAAATTCTGGCCGGGTACCGTGGCTCATACCTGTAATTCTAGCACTTTGGGAGGCCAACGCAGGTGGATCAGTTGAGCCCAGGAGTTCAAGACCAGCCTGGGCAACATGACAAAACCCTGTCTCTACAAAAAATATAAAAGTTAGCTGGGCATGGTGGCACATGCCTGTAGTCCCAGTTACTTGTGGGGCTGAGGCAGGAGGATCACCTGGGGAGGTTGCGGCTGCAGGGAGCTGTGATTGTACCACTGGACTGCAGCCTAGGTGACAGAGTGATACCCTGTCTCAAAAAAAAAAACAAAAAAACCCCAATTAATCAAAGATGTTTAATGTAGGAAATTTGGAAGAAACAGAAAAGGATAAATAAAAAAATAAAATTACCTAAACTTCTATTACCACTTAACAGTTAACATTCTAGTCTTTTTTATATGAATATGTTTAAATACATTCTACTGAATATATTATGTAATTGTCTAACCTTAATTTTAATGAAGGTTTAATTTATGTTTAATTTTCTAATAATTTTTAGCTCCTACTATTATAGCACACAGATATACCAGAATCTGTTTATTCAAATTCATAATAGTTGTTTTTAACTTTCTTTTTTTTTTTGATTGCAGTTTTCTTTCTTATACATCTTTGATTATTTCCTTAGGTCTAGTTTTTATAAGTGCAATTAACATGGTCAAAGGGAGTAAGAACTTTTTGTTGGCTTTTGATATTGCTAAATTGATCTCCACAAAGCATTCACCAGTCAAAGCTCTTACTTGTGATGTTCAATGTGTTTGTCTTACTGTATGATCTCTACTCCTAGGCATTGTTACAAAACAAGTCAGAAACCAGCAAATACAAGCCTGTCATATTTTTCAATTTTGAAGATAGAAATTATCTTTTCTTCTAAAATTTTCTGATTTCTCACTTTTTACATTAACCTTCATTGATAAACCTTCTTTATGCTTCTTTATTATAGGAAATTATAGATTTATTCAGTCTCTTATGGCTGTGCTTAGCAGCTCTAGGTAGATCAGTATAATCATAAAAATAAAATAGCTACTCAAAATTAGGCATTAGTGCAGGATAACAGTCATTATGCTGGATGCTTTACAAAATATAGCCCGTTTAATCCCCACACAAATTCTGAAGGTAGGAAATATTATTCTCATTTTACTGAGAAAGTATTGTAAGGCACCATTCATTATTCACCTTTGTGTTTGTGGAGTCTGGCCAAGTACCTGGCACATTCACACAAATTGGTTTGTTAAGTGAACATTAGATAAATATTTTGTTAGCTTATTTCATGTTTTAGAGTCTTCTCCAGATATATTATGATAGCAGATATAGTAGAGTTAACATGGTACCAGTATGTTGACCTTCACTATTATTTATTGAACGAAACATGCAAGTCCAAACTAGAACAGGGTGATTTTATTATGTGTGAGGGAATGGAATGCACCCCAAGTGGCTAACCAGCAATCCCCAAAATTGAATTTTTGTTCTGACAAAGAATTCTTTTGGGTGTCCTCTGAGCTCAGTGCTATGGTTGCACAATATCCAAGATTATAAAAACTGAAAAATGTTGACAGTGTCCAAACAACCAACTCAAATCAATGATACCCAAATATCATATAGACATTAATCTCTTTATGATTTTACAGTTTCTTTGTTTGTGATAGTATCCAGATTGCCTCAGAAATAGAGGTCACGGCCGGGCGCGGTGGCTCAAGCCTGTAATCCCAGCACTTTGGGAGGCCGAGATGGGTGGATCACGAGGTCAGGAGATCAAGACCATCCTGGCTAACATGGTGAAACCCCGTCTCTACTAAGAAATACAAAAAACTAGCCGGGCGAGGTGGCGGGCGCCTGTAGTCCCAGCTACTTGGGAGGCTGAGGCAGGAGAATGGCGTGAACCCGGGAGGCGGAGCTTGCAGTGAGCTGAGATCCGGCCACTGCACTCCAGCCCGGGTGACAGAGTGAGACTCCATCTCAAAAAAAAAAAAAAAAAAGAAATAGAGGTCACACAAAAATTGAACAGCATTTTGAGATCAAATTTTCTGATTTTTGCACTTTGCTGCTTGGTTCCAAATGAAAATAGAACAGAATGAAGTGGATCAAAAGCCAAATCAAAAATATTTTTTTTTTCCTTTGTGATTAATTAATACCTACAAAGCATTGAAATGAGAGATGCTAGTAAATGGTATATGTTATTATTGCTTTGACTTTGTCAGTTTTATGACCTGTCCTTTGCTTTCAGATTGATTTCTTACAGTGTGTTCAGAATTATGTGAATTAGGGTTCTCTTTAATGTAGAATGCAATTTTAATTATTGGCTTAATAGCTTAAAAGGAACAGCCTTAAACAGTGTTGCAAATTCTTTGTCTTGGAAGCTGGGAACTGTTCAATCTCTGGAACAGCAATCATAGGATAGTCTCATTAATCATTTAAGCAGGCAAAAAAAAAAAAAAAAAAAGAGAGAGAGAGAGAGAGAAACAAAACAGAACCATAAACGCTAAACATTTGTTGAGACATGATGTTGCAATGGTAAATTTAGAGATGAAAATAATTTCATTTTTAAGAGACCACATGGAATTATTATAGCTTAATGGTGATGTAATTGTGGATACGTGTTTAACAAGTTGACTATGATTGTTAAACTACTGTGTGATTCCTTTTTTTTTGTCCCTAAGATGCCATCAGAAGTGGATACACATTAATTAAATGTCCTCAGAGAGTCTTTCCTTCTTCTTCATTCAGTTTTATAGGAGGAAATAATGGTTCCTTTTAAGCCGAGTTAGAATAAAATGGTTTATTTATCCCTCTCCTCTGTCCCTCTACCTCTGTACAGCGGTACATCTACTACTGTGATCTTCTGCAGGACTGTATGATACAGGTGATGGAGGCTCTTTCTTCACCGGACTTTTTCTTTAAAAAAGTTATCTATGACAGAAATATCTTAATGTCCGAAATAGTCCTTTAAATCAATTTTTAAGGGCAACAATTTGGTAGAACATTTATTTTGATAACAGTTTCAGAATTGTATAATTCAAAACTAGAAAGGATTAATCTAGATCAATGAGTTGAATGTTTGGGAAGTCTCAGATGTGGCTATATGGATTTTCATTAAACGTTGGATTTAAATATGGGAGGAATGTGTTAGGAATTTAAAACATCATGTCAGCTTGGGATTGTGAACTTAATTAAAAGCATTACTTTAGCCAGGCATGGTGGCTCATTCCTGTAATCCCAGCACTTTGGGAGGCCAAGGCAGGCAGATCACTTGTGGTCAGGAGTTTGAGACCAGCCTGGCCAACATGGTGAAACCCCATTTCTACCAAATATATAAAAAGTTAGCCAGGTGTGGTGGTGTGCACCTGTAATCCTAGCCACTCTGGAGGCTGAGGCAGGAAAATCTCTTGAACCCAGGGGGCGGATGTTACAGTGAGCCGAGATCATGCCACTACACTCCAACCTGTGTGACAGAGCGAGACTCCAACTCAAAAAAAAAAAAAAAAAAAAAAAGGCGTTACTTTAATTCTTTCACCTTCTTACCCATTAATAATACATGTAAAGACATTCAGGTTTTATTTTGTATGTAATAATCTTAGACAAATTTGTCAGACTTTGGGCTCTGTAAAATGTCAATGTTGTATCTGATAAATAGAGTTTAGGTTGAAAGAGCAATTACAATTCTGGCAACATTTTGATTCATCATCTTTGAAATTTATGTTATTCAGGCTTTATTAAAGTATGGCTTCTTGCTCATCTTCTGTGTACCTTTTCCTCCCTGCCTTTGCCTGGGCCCTACTCAGCATAATGGAAATGTCTCCACCAAGCTGGTAGCAGGCTGAGCCATCATTGTGTGGGGCGGCTATAGTTTTCTCGATGTGGTATTTATCATTGAAGATCTTGGTGCTTTTTAACTTTTTTAATACTAAAGTGTTGTATTTTAAAAACAAGCAATAGATTGACACATAGCTTTTAAGTGATATAATGAATCAATAATATATTTATTACACCACTTAAAATAGAGTTCAATAAGTTTTTGGAAATTTTTTCTGAAGTGATAAAGTCAGTTATGATCATGTAGAATGACTGTTTTGATCACATATAGTGACTTGAAATCTTAAAATGCATTTGATTACTCAGAACTACCCCACATCTAGAGGTCTATAAATGAACAGTTTTCAAAACCACATCAGTTATTGTCACATATTTCAGCAGTGGCATTCTTATGGTACATTCTTGAGTGATTATAAGTGAGCATGAGAAGTTCATTTCTCTTATTTTTCTTTTATGATTATTTTTCTGGTTAAAAGAGTGAGTATAAATTTTAAAGAGTATATAACCTTATTCTTCTACCTATTTGGAAGTGAAATATTTTAGAGTCCTAATGATGAACCCAGTTACTTCTATTAAAACTTAGGTATGGGGCTTTATGGAGCTATAATTGATTTGGAAAATTAGACAGTATCACCCCCATATTTCTATTTTCTTGATGACAGAGAGCAGCAATATTCTAGACGAAATGGATCTTTACTCTTTTGATTCTTACCAGTTGCTTCTTCACAGCTGGTATCTGTGAAGATGGAATCTGTAGCAGAATTCAGCTGAGAGATAAAATTGCTCTATCAGCATTCAGACAGTAATAAGTAGATATGATTTTTTTCATTACTTTATGAATTTTACTGATAATTTTTTATTAAGTTCTTTGTTTCTATTGACTGTTTTACTGAAAATATATCAGTTTGCAATTGATTTGATAGGGAAAAATATAATGTGGTTCTCAGATATCTTCTGTCATTTAAATTTTTGAAGTGATTTTCAGAAACCAGCTGAAATTTATTTGAGTAGAATGTTGTAAATGATCAAATAAACCTTTTAAAATGATTCCAAATATCATATAGACAACGTTTGTACCATTCTCAAAAAGTTATGTGGATTAAACTCTCACAGCTGATAATTTGGCTCTCCAGGCAATGAATCGCTCCCTGGCTAATGTGATTCTTGGAGGCTATGGTACTACTTCAACAGCTGGTGGAAAACCCATGGAAATTTCCGGCACACATACGGAAATCAACCTTGACAATGCAATTGATATGATTCGAGAAGCTAATAGCATTATTATTACACCAGGTAAAGAAAAAAAGCAAAAGCAAATAACCTATAAAGCTGTTATAATTGATGACGTTAAAATTTCTTATAATAGGAAAGTAGAATTGAAACTTCTTTAGTTTTGAAAATATGATGGAAACTTAATAGCACTTCTATGATTACTAAGTGAAAAATACTGAGAATTCCCAGTTTAAGTTAATTATCTGGAGATCGCATGGTAATTCTGTAAATTCTTACAGTGGGTTCTAGCCGTGTCTTTCTGTGATTATGTGTACATGTTTACATCGTTTTCGAGTCTTTTTTTTTTTTCTCATTGGTAATTTTTGGGCCCATTGTCAAGACGGAATTAGATATAGTATATGAAAATCTTTAGCCCACTCATTAGAGTTGCTCAATAAATGTTATTCTTTTTTCAAAAATGATTATTTAAAAAATCATCAAGAATCATGTGGTTTTCAACAAAATGAGGCAATGTGGCCTGGTAGAAAGTGCTTGGTTTGGAGTCACGATACCACACTTTTGTTCTTAATTAAGAATTCTTAATCTACGTGACATTACCCAAGTCGTTTAATCTCTCCAGGCCTCAATTTTCTAGTTATCTGAGTTTTAGCTCTTCACTGTTATCACAGAATACTGTGGTATTACGGGTAATACATTGGTTTCAGATTAAGATTTTAACACTATCATGTTATCAAATGAGTTTTCTGTAAAGAAAATCTACTGATTTGACATGTGAGTAGTTTACTAGTTAGTTATGTACTGAAATAAAAATAGGAGACATTAGCTGAGTAGAATGTTACAGTGTAAACTTTCTCAACTTGGGACAATATCACTTTTTAGGGGCATTTGAAATAGGTGTATTTGGGTTTTTGGTGTCCAAAGATGGGACTGCTCCTGTCAGTTAGTGGATGGAAGCAGATAAACGAAATGTACTGTAATGTGTGGGGCACTGCTGCATAATGAATCATCACACCCCAAGTGTCATTGGCCTTACCTGTTGAGCAACGCTGTTCTGGAGTGTAAAGGTGTAAAGATGTAGAGGACACAATCTATTTCCTCTAGGCGTTTTCCATCTAATGATGAAGTCAGATAGGTAGATCAGTAATGCAAGGTGGGTTATGATAAGGGCTAAACTGAACTATGTGCACAATTTTTTGATCACAAGAAACCTATGAAGGTTTGTAGGGAGATGAGGATTTGTTTTTAGGCCTTAGAGGATAGATGGTGTTGGGGTGGGAGAAGCCAGTGGGAATAGCTTGAGCAGAGACTTGGCATTTGAAAAAATGGGGATAGAAAAGTGGGAACAGATGTGAGATTCATTGTGCAGGTAGAATGGACAGAAAAGGCGGTGAAGATGACTGAAGTTCTTCATTATACCTGTAATAACATCAGAAATATGGAAACAGTTTTTGGAGTGTGGGGAAGAAATTTTGAGTTTTTTTTGAGATGTTAAATTTGAGGTGGAGATGGGACAAGAGGCATGTTATACTGGGGCTCAAATGACAGGTCAAGCCTGCAGACAGATTGGGAATCACCAGATGGTTGTTGAAGTCATGAGATAAGCTGAGATTTTCAAGGAGATTGTGAGGGGCAAAGTTAAAGCCCTTTGAAAGCTTTGTCATATAAGCGGAGAAAAGAAGGAGATAAACTATTGAAGGAACTAGAGGAAGAATAATAACAAAATTAGGCTGGGACAGAGGACTGCAGTGTCATCAAAGCCAAGTATGAAGAGAGTTTAAAAACACAAGAGAGAGAGACGGAGAGAGACAGAGAAAGAGATGAGAGGGAACACCCAAGGGGTATGTGCAGTGTCGGGGTCAGGGGTGCACAGTGGTATTAGACACTATAGAAGATTGAGGAGCAATCGTTACACTTTCAATTTCAAATATAGGGCAATATTTTTAAAAGCCAAGCTTATAAGTTTGCTTTCATTTCTAGTCCTGTTAAATGATTGCTTCTCTTGGCATAAACATGTGTTTTGATCAAGAGAGAAGTTGTACTTCATGTAATTTCAAAATAAAAAAACACATTCTTCTGTGTTCTTAATGTTCCTTGCAGGCTATGGTCTCTGTGCAGCCAAAGCTCAATACCCCATTGCTGATTTGGTAAAGATGCTCACTGAGCAAGGCAAAAAAGTCAGGTAAGCGTTTGCAGTGGAGAGGCTTGCAGTGTGTGTAAAGATGTGTGTGTGGAGAAAAGGAAATAGAGTGGATCCTTGAACAATGTAGGGGTTAGGGCACTGACCCGCCCATACAATTAAAGATCCATATATAACTTTTGAATCTCCAAAAACGTGCCTACTAATGGCCTACTGATGATCAGAATGCTTACTGATAACATAAACAAAATGTGTATCCATTAACAAATTTTATGTTATATGTATTAAATAGTAGAGAAAGGAAAATGTTACTAAGAAAATCATAAGGAAGAGAAAATATATTTGCTATTCCTTAAGTGGAAGTGGATCATCATAAAGGTTTTAATCCTTGTCTTTATGTTGAATGAGATGAGAAGAAGGAGGAAGAGGAGGAGTTGGTCTTGTTCTCATGAGTGGCAGCGGCAGAAGAAAATCTGTGGATAAGTGGACCCTCGCAGCTCAAACCCATGTTGTTCAAGGGTCAGCTGTAGATGGCTTCTGAAAAAGATGACTATTTCTTAAAGTGGTGTTTTACATATGTAATCCTAGGTAAAGAAGTTAAGTTGTTAACGAACAAGCCATATTCTGGTCTTAGTCTTACTATTTAGATTTTGCTGTCCCTGGATTAGCATCAACTCAAATATTATTGACTCATTTTAGAAAAGGAAAATTTGTTATTCCAAATTCTTGAATATTTATTAATGGGGAAATCAGAAGTCTTGTTTCTCTGTGGTTTGATTTGAGGAAAGAGGTCAAACGAAGCATTTTAAGTACATCAAGTTGTATCTTTTTGGTTTCTGGTCACACTGAATAAAGACAAAAGGTCTTAAAAGAGAGGCCTTGAAGAGCAAGATCAAGTAATAAACCTGTGTGCTGGTTACTGTTTTGCTGAGTTAGCTCTCATATACTCAGGGCGGAAAAGGCTGCTGAAAGTGTTCCTTTCATAAAGCTATTCATGTTTTGAAATATGAATCAGAGCAGCAGCTGTTCCTGCCACTTGCCATTTGGGCATTGGTCTGCTCTTGGGAGGATATTAAGCAGAATGGCAAAGTTGAGGGACTCTGTTTTACTAGCTTATTCTCCATGATGTTGGATAAAGGGTTTGAGGAACGTACAGATAGGGCCATTGGGTGATGAATGTGGTGACCCTCAGGGTACTTTGCATCTGTCCTGCTCACCTTTGGGTCCCCATTCTGGAACTCTGATATTACTTAGGAGTCAGAGAAGAGATCCTATGGAGTTATCCCTGGTAGGACAACTGCTGCCTGTTTTGTGGGGAGGCTGGTTCACTAGCAGTTGCATTGATGTGACACTGTAAGTCAGAGAGACAAGGTAACTCATTAAATAGAATTAGTTTGTTTACCAGGATGGTAATGTTTGTGGACAAAACTGTTAACTTCTGTTCATAAAAGTTTTAGACATCAACCTTATGCTTTTGTCTAGAGACAAAAGCATCATCTGATGAGAAAATAAGCCAAACAATGTTCCTAGAGCCAGCCAGAGTACTTGTGCTGGACTGGATGCAGAATCCTAATCTCTGGCTGGAATGTCCCAGCTACTAGTAGTGGTGAAAGAAACTTAGATGATGAAATCAGGAGGCTACCTTAATTGTATTAGTGTCAGCAGTTATGTCAGCCACACTTTTATTTCTTCCTTCCTTTCTTTCCTATGCTTCTTTACTTCTCTCACTCCTTCTCCACTCCTTCCTCCAATCTATAGTTTGTGTTTGTCAAATATATAGAATCAAAATACTATTTTGTGGTGGGACCAGCATTTCTGTGATATGATTTTCATGTTTATTGAGAATCTTAGATGAATTGAAGATAGACGATGAGAAAAGTCATTGACTTTATTTTTAAATTTTTACATAAGAAGTCTACTTTTTAGTTACTTATTCCAATTTTTACATAGGATATTAAGCTGTGCTTTTTAAAGCCATCATTTTGCTACTGAGAACATTTGTAGGCCTGCAAGTGAAAAGGATGTGTTAAACAACGTTTTATGATTTTCCTAAAAAGAAACTGCTTTCTCTGTTCAGTCCACATGTGAAAAAATCTAATGTATTCGTAATGCCCTCTTTCACCACATAAATGTTTAGGAGATGAGTGGCAATCATAATAGAGAAAGAAAAATGCCTTTCATATCTTAGTTATCCTTAGGGAAGGGAAGGATTAATTTGACATACCTCTCTTGTAACCCGTTGATCAGCCTAGGTTAAACAGACATCTTGGAAAATCAGTCCAGTGTTAAATAGGTGGATGTGGAGTGAAGAGCATCATGACTGTAGTGCATCTTGAAGGAAGACAGGACCTTAAGGGAAATGTCAAAGGAAATAAGAGAGATGGGAAAAATGATCTGAAAGGAAAAAGGATAAGACAAATGAATTTTTTGTTTCTGATCTGATTAAAATTAGAATTTTATCTATGAGGACATGATATAAACTACTGTTGTAGGATGATTTCTGTGACACTGCTTGGGAAAAGTAATTATTTGATGAAAGGTTTATGAGAAATATTTAATTATACATATATGAATACTTTTTCAGTTCTACATTTTTTATTGAAGTAATTGTGTAAATAGGACCAAAGACTTTTCATGAGAGAGCTTGTCATTGCTTCACATAATTGTTAACATAGTTCAAATACTTCTATAAATTTATTCATAATTTATTATGTAGGATCAGAATAAGATTATTAATTCAGTCTAGTTTCTCTATTTGTAAGTTATTTATAGTCATCTTTCTTTCATATTAAAGGTGAAATATATTAATATATTATAGTTTTTTTACTATAGTATGTTGAATTTTCAACATAAACTTTGTAACAAATTATGTAAATCTTCCATTTGAATTAAATGGAAAAGGACTATTCTTGCTAAAATGATGACAGTAGATCATCATATTTTTCTGTGTGAATTTTTTTTATTGAAAGAGATTTGTAGAAACGTTGTGATTTTCTTGCGTGTGTTATCTTTTCACAGGAGAAATGCAAATTTATGAAGTTAGGAATATATATATACATAGATGCTAGCTTTTTTCCTTTTTTTTTTTTAAGGGGCAAATGTCTGTTTGAACAAGAGATGGCTGTAGCAGTTACCTCGTATTTTAATGAAATAAATCTGTATTTACAGTTTGCAGTAATTTAGTCCTTTCATCACTCTGTGGAGCTCCCACGGTGTTCATTGAGTACAGCTGCTGGGCCTCTGGAGTTAGTAGGTCTTTGTGCCTCAGGACCCCAGCAGGCCTAGCATCCAGATGTGGTGACATATTCACACACATCCCCTGTGGAAATGTGCCAGTGTGGACATATGATTGTCATCAATTAGTTACGCCCAAGTGGTGCCAAGAAAAATTGCGTCTGTCATACAGTCTGTCTGACTTCAAGGCCCATGATTGATTTAGAGACACTCCTGTTTTCCTTTACTTTGGCCATAGTCATAACATGCTCACGAACTAAGATTATATAATGAAGCACATCACATTGCATGACAAGAACTCATTTTAGAATGTCATGAAAGTTCATTGGCTTAGACTTTCTTTAGTGGCCAAGATATCATTTGCTTCCCAGTAGCCCAGAATGCCTGTATAGCTTACCTAACTTCTACTTGATGTCTAAAAGGATTTTATGACAACAATCTTATGACGTAAGAGCCACAGATATTTTTTATTTTTCCTTCCCAATTTTTGGATTGATTATATGATAGGCTTTTCATTGTAAGGCAGAGATAGTGTTCCCATTGAGTAATTAGAAAGTGGTAGAATATGCCTGTAATCCCAGCACTTTGGGAGGCTGAGGCAGGGGGATCAGGAGGTCAGGAGATCAAGATCATCCTGGCTAACATGGTGAAACACCGTCTCTACTGAAAACACAAAAAATTAGCCGGGTGTGGTGGTGGGCACCTGTAGTCCCAGCTACTCGGGAGACTGAGGCAGGAGAATGGCGTGAACCTGGGGACAGAGCTTGTAGTGAGCCGAGATCGTGCCACTGCACTCCAGCCTGGGTGACAGAGTGAGACTCCATCTCAAAAAAAAAAAACAAAAACAAAACAATAAGGGGTAGAATTTTTTTCTTTTTTATAATTAATTACTTCTTGATTTTCTTTCTATAAATCGTTATTGCTTGAATTATCACAGAAGTCATTTGAATTTATTAAATACCTTTCAACTTTTTTTAAAAATTATTTTTGTTTTTGAGATGGAGTTTCACTGTTGTCACCCAGGCTGGAGGGCAGTGGCATGATTTCAGCTCACTGCAGACTCTGCCTCCTGGGTTCAAAGCAATTCTCTTGCCTCAGCCTGCCAAGTAGCTGGGGCTGTAGGTGCACACCACCACACCTGGCTGATTTTTGTATTTTTGGTAGAGACGGGGTTTTGCCATGTTGGCCAGGCTGGTCTTGAACTCCTGACCTCAAGTGATCTGCCTGCCTCAGCCTCCCAAAGTGCTGGGATTACAGGCGTGAGCCACCGCATCTGGCTTCAACTTCTTTGAGTGACTAACTGATGTTATGTATTGCTTTCATGTTAATGTTCTACCACATCCTTCTATTAATAACTTACTGAGAAATTTATTGCTAGGTACTGAGCATACAAGGATGAATAAGTCCAATTCTCAAAAGTTTACAGTTATGAAGAAATCACTATTAACAGATCAATCAATGAATGAATTCCATTTAATGTGATAGCATGCTAAGACAAGTAGAGTATTAGTAAGAATACAAGGAGTAGTTAGCTGTCCAGGAGATATTTTAAACTTTTTACAAGCTGAAATATCTTGCATGTTTTTAAAAATAAATATTTTAATTTATTTTTTATGTGCTGTCTAAACACATCTAGCTGCCTGTGGTATTTGCAGTCTAATAATGTTTTACAGTCTTGTGTAATATGGCTATAGGTTTAAATACATGTTATTTTTACTTAGAAATCGATTCTTTGAAGATACTTGAAAATATAAAATATTTTGTCCATCTAACTAACTGGATTTTGTTGTTGTTGTTGTTGGAATTTC